CTGAGTGACTTCATCGATAACTGAGCTCCCTGCCGGCAGCAAAGACAATCTCTTCCTGAGTCTGTTTGTTCAACTTCTTCGAGGCATATCTCTGACAAAACCAATGCTTTATACGACATAAAGTTTAAAAACAAAAAAAAAAAAAAAGAAGGAACTTACCAGTTAAGGTTTGTATGTGACCCCAATTGCATGACAATCGACAGAAATGATGTTTGCTACAACTTGTCGTTTATTACAGCCTCTGCAAAGTCAACTCAGGAAAAACTGGGACTTAAAAGCTCAGGGAGAAGCACGAGGAATCCACATGGAAGAGTGTACACTGTACAGGAAACAAAAGCTTCAGGAGATGCCAATAGAGCTTACTGCAGTCAGGTACAGCACAAAGTTGCACTGAGGACTGCTTTGGGAGCCAACTTATACCAGCCCAAATGAGCTGATGAGTTACAGGTGCGTGATGACCTGGCTAGCCTCAGGTGTGAGGTGCAGAGCGCCCTGCCTGAGAAGGCTGCCTGGCTGGCCCCTCCCTAACAAATTCAATGTTGCTGAAAATGAAACCGAAAGACTCATCGTATTATCTTTTGACACAAATTTACAAGCCATGCTTGATGTAGAAACTTTATTTAAAATGATTCAAAATCAGAAAAGTATAAACAATAAAACATGAGTGCAGGTTAAAATACATGATCTCTTTGCAGTTGTTGCAAAATAACCGGGGGTCAAAAATACAACCAGTGCCAAAAAAACTACTAAAAGGTAAGAAAATAGATTTGGTCCAACACAGCAAACTACCTATCCATAACACTATAGAGCAGAATTTACAATTGGTTGATCAGCATGACTAATGTTGCCAAAGAAACTGGAATACATATGGGGTCCCAATTATAAACATGTTGAAAGGATTTATATAAAATGTTCATGTATACGTACAAAACCCCACATCTACCTGGTTAAGTTCAGCACAAGGTTCGTATTAAAGTGTCACCTTTAACACTTCTATTCAACCATTCATGATCAATCCAAAGCACCTTATGAATGTATAGGCATATCTCTGAGATGGTTGCTTGCTCTTTACTGTGAACTGTGGCAGCTACTGACATGGATAGTGAACTGATTATATGTGAGGTGGCATGTGATTACAAAGATCTTGCCGAGGTGATGAAAGCAATGTCATGAAAAACAAATGCCAATTCAGCAGTGGCAATATGTCATGCTTTTCAAAAATTAAGTCAACTGGTTGGATGCAAAGGTGAAAGTAAGAAAGAAAAAACACATTCCACAGCCGATGCGCGTGCCACAGGTGGGCACTGAATACAAATTCATTTTTACACAGAGCACTTATAGCAGTGTGAATTAAAATCACTCGGAACATTTGGTATTCTAAGGGAAACGTGGTTGCCATATTGCATCCAAGACAATTATATGGGCAGTAACTATATGACAACAAAGGACAAGGCATCATAGGGAGTTGGTTTAATAGGACATGAACAAAACACATGAGAAGATGTTATGGTCTGTTAAAACAAGGCTGATTGTTTTGGGCCATAATGGACTACAATATATGCATGGCAGCCATGGATTTTTATATGAGTGGACTAGCAATGCTGCATAATACTCGCCGTCAGGATAAGTGAAGCCACCAGCATCCATCATAAGTTGCCACTCGCAAAGCTTGAATACATTGATTTTCCACCGTGTTTTCACATTATTTTTAAATATACCACTTTGAATGGCATATGCTTGTACCAATAAGGCAGTGAGAAGCATATTTTGGGTGACAACAAAATAATACAATATATAAATGATTTTATTTTAAGATTTCGAGATCACAAAACTCTTACAATTGAACAACTACAATTAAGCAAACACAACAACAACAAATAAACAAATAAAACACTTTTTTCAGATACTGTGCAGTTTTGGTGTCGGTGGGCTTTCCGTGCATGCCGCCTGTCAAATCTGCCTGCTTAGACATCAAGTGCTCACAAAGGTCTCTGAAGAAGAGCAATGCTTATCACCGAAATTGCACAAGGTCTGAAGAAAGAAGTTGTGCTTTCGGGAGGCTAAATAACAAGGCCAGAGTGTAGCCCAACACTGCATTATTTGAACAGGCTATTAACAGCACAACACTAGTTCATACAACTCACTATAGTCAGTCGCCATGACAGAACTCCTCTCCTTCCTTTTTCCTGTCGACAGTATTTTTCTACAACACTGCCACTTAGTGTACAGTCACAGAACATAACAGAAGTGATCCATGTTTTTGAAACAAATAACATACACTTCAGTAGGACACTTTATTTTCCCAAGCCGCGCAGAGCCGCAAAATCAGGATGAAAGAGCCGCATGCGACTCCGCAGCTGCGGGTTGCCGAACCCTGGGATAAATGGGTGGATGGATGGATGGATAGATGGATTGCACCAGCTGATCAGTTGATGTTGCAAACACTAAAACAGGGGTGCCCATTACATCGATCGCGATCAACCAGTAGATCAAGGACTGGTCCCAAGTCGATCCGAGGGGTATAGAGGGAAAACCCCCCCAAACATTTGTGTCTCAGTGCATGTTAGTACCGTATTGGCCCGAATATAAGACGGTGTTTTTTGCATTGAAATAAGACTGAAAAATGTGGGGGTCGTCTTATATTCGGGGTCTAGACATTATACCCATTCACGACGCTAGGTGGCACCAGATATCATTGAAGCGAATGTTGAACTTAACTCCCCAGGCCAAAGTGAACCCCTGTCACGAAGAATAAAAATAAAAGTAGCGGTAGCACGAAGAAGAAAAATAAAAAAATTGCGGTAAGAAAGAAAAGAGAAGAAAATAAAGGAAGAGATAACAGAAAATGGAGAAACGTAGCGACAATCTGGAGAAAAGTGGGTCGAAGATCGGCCAGGTTAACCGGCAGCTGAGGAGAAGTTATGATGTAATTTACATTTCAAAAACCAGAAGCCATTCATTTACGAATGTGATTGCACTTTAGTTTACATATTTAAATGTTCAGACATTAAGATTTGAATGAGGCAAAATACAGTGATACCTCCGCTGACGAACGCTTAAGCTCACGAACTTTTCGCCTCAAGAACATTAAATTCGCGAGCATATAGTCTCTGCTGACGAACTAGTTTTCGGCGGACGAACCAAACCACGCGGTCAAACAGTGCCACGGTGGCGGCCACGAGAAGCTGACGCACGCTCACGGCGTCCCAGTTCGTCACCCCCCCTTTCTTTGAGTGCGGACGTGGTTTGTGTTTGATTGACATTTTGGACCATATTGAGTGTAATTTGCTATTATGGGACCGAAAAAGACCCCACCACAGGCTAGTGTTAAGCCTAAGAAGACATTAAAGAAAATTACGATCGAGCAGAAGAAGGAGATCATTGAAAAACACGAACGAGGTGTGCGTTTGTGTGACTTAGTGTCCCAGTACCAGTATGCTAAGTCGACATTTACTACCATCCTTAAGATGGAAAGGATAAAGTCTCCTTCTACGAAGCAAAGAAGAGAAGCCACACCGGAGGTTGAGTTACCTACAGTCCTTATGGAAGGTGACTCTCCTTCCAAACGGTAACTCCCTCCCTCCCTCCTCCTCCCACTCCATTCCATCAAGCCATCAACTACCATCACAAAGGTAAATAAAACGACTTCATTATACACTACAGTTTATTTCCTTAATTACAATACAGTAGCACATTTATTATACATAAAATAAGGTATATTTTTGTATAGTTTTAAGGCTTATTTAGTATAAAATTATGTTTTATGTGGAACAGGAACGGATTATTCTCATTTTAATGGTTTCTTATGGGAAATAAATGTTCGGAAGACGAACTTTTCGCCTTACACACACTTTCTGGGAACCAATTATGTTCGTGAGCTGAGGTATCACTGTAACATGCCTTTTCTCTCAAATATATTGTTATAATCATTTGTTTCAGATGTACTGTAATTATTTTCTGTATAAAAATTAATTTGGTGTTCAAAAACCCTTTTTTCAAACGAGTCTTGAAAAAGAGGGGATCGTCTTATAATCAGGTCCGTCTTATATTCGGCCAATACGGTAATACTGTATATTTTTTGTGTTAATGCACACTGCACCCTAATCATTCTATCAGTCTCACTTTCACAAAAACTACCGTATTTAAAAAAGAAACTAAAATAAAGCGGGTCATCTTTAACCTACGGTGGCGTAGGACTGCGTCATCGGAAATTGTTAGCGCTGAGCAGTCTGCAGTTGCAGCTTGTGATCAGAGTTGTTGTGCTATATCTTTTATCGTTATCATTATTCTCACTCAGTTTGTTTTGTACAATTCACCGAGGGGACGGGCAAAGACTGGGAATCTGGAGGGCCGAGAGAAGCATTTTAAAACGGTACGCGTGAGCTCCGATTGTTAACAAGCTGCCTAAGTGTGTCGCATGACTCAGCGTCAGGCTATTGCTCCTCATGGCATGCGTGTGTAAGTGCGTGCATGCGTATGTGCGCGTGTGCGGTAGCGGGTTGATCGCGGGAGGTTGGTTGATCAAAAAGTAGCTCTTCGGTCAAAAAAGTTTGGTCACCCCGGCACTAACATATGTGTTATTTAATGTTGTTTTCGCTATTATGTGTAGTAGTCTGATGATTCAGAATATTAATTAAACATTTGACCTGTTTGTTTTGTTTGCTGCTTGGCTACTGACAAATCAGTCTACAAAGCGCAGCCCAAAAGCAAAGGTGATTTTAAAATGTGACAGTGGACAATGTTTGCTGTTGATGTGGACATATGAGTTTGAACTGTTTACTCCATGATGTTCTGAAACAATAGTTTGATTGAAACATTATTATTGGGACAGAAAGAGGCATTTTCCAATAAACAAGAATAAAAGGAATTAGTGAAATGTGTAAAAGCTGTGATACGTGCTTCACAAAGAAAATATGTACATTATATTTGTATCGAGTTCAGGGGCGTGCCAAGCACAGAAGATGCCAACGACCGCTTTTGATACCCCCGATTTTATTTATTTTTTTGGTCAATGAGTGGTGGCGCGTGTGGGCAGTGTGTGTAAACATTTCTTTTCGAACGAACATAGCAGATTTTCATTTCGATTCCATTTCACTCCCGGCGACGGACATGTGTAACTGTTGCCGTTTTTCTCTTGCGGTGACCAAACCGCGCTGTTGGAGCACAGAGCACAAACCACCGAGGTAAAAATTTGGCCTGCCAGTTTGCTTTATAACCACATTAGAAAGTATGCAAAGTGAACCTTTCCAAGCTGGCATCCGTTATGCATAGCTCAAAATAAATATTTTCATATTCAGGGAGGGGCAGACCTTTTCTCAAAGAATGTGCCGCTTCAGCATGCGCATTATTCTATAATTGATCCGGCGCTTAACGTGCACCTAATACATTTATGTAGACTGGGGGTTTGGGGAGGGTGTCACTGTGGATGCCCGGGACCACCTCCTCATTGTCGCCCATTCACTCATTTGGAAGAGCTAATGGGGTCAGATGAGAATCTCCATCATGTCCTTGTCCACTTCTTGGTGGGTGGCTCTGGCTGAGGGATGTTGCTGTGGGTGGGTCTGGGACTGGATAGGGACCCTTCGCTCCAGGGTGCTGCTCTGAAACACAGGTCCATCTATACAGGACATAAATAAGAACAAGAACATTAGCAAAATAAAATAGATCAAGATTATATGATTCAATTTGAATTTGCAGCTGCCAGCTAACATTACATAATAACAACATGTACCGGTATGTTTTTTTTCTCAAACAAAGCAAGTGTTTTCTCCACAGCAGGAGACTCACTGTTCAGAACACGCAAGCATACTCAAGAGACATGTACAACTTTCCTTATCAAGTACTGTATACTGCTTTTGAGTTTAAACTGTACCTGCTGCAAATCTGGACTCGGTTGTTTTAGTTGTTTTACTTTTGTTTGATATCCACACACCAGGTTAGCCCATCAGCGGGGGCTCAGTAACCTGTTTTAAGTACCTGCAGCATCAGACCCTTGCGTGTACATCCATCCATCCATTGTCTGAATATAACTAGGCAGCTTTGGAATATTTCAGTGTTCGAGTGTCCTACTGAAAGTTCTGTAGAATAATCGTGTATTCGGGTAAATATTTTTACTTTATCGAAATACATCTGACAACCAAAATCAATTGGTTTCCTTTTTTGAAAATCAAAATATTTTTTTTTCTGAAATCCACATAGTAGCAAAATACCGTATACTTTATATTCGCGAAACATTTTCAGTGGGGAAATTTGAAACGAATATAAATTTAACCTAAAACTGAGCATTTCTTGTGTTGAAAAGCATGAAATACAATAAGGTTTTAAAAGCCTTTGAGCAACTTCACTTGAGCAGGTAGCATTTAGCATGGCTTTGTGTTTATAAGGAATAAGACATATTCACAAGTTTTGCAGGTGTGAAAGGCCCTAAAATGAAAAGACTACGAGAGGAAACAGTTGAAATGGTGAGCTACATGTTACATGAATTTCAGCAAGCGTTGAGAGGATTCGCTTGTTCGATAATAATCCCGAATGAGTCGTTTCATGACACGACACACAGTAGCTCAGGAAAAAAGGAGAGATTTCTCAAACTAACACTTTTTAGTTGGTGCGAAACATTGAAAATCATTTGTGGTAAAATGGTCAGGTGACTTAAGATGCCTTATTTCAAAAGCAAAGTGGTCTAGTTTACAAAATTCACCAGCACCTGCGCTGAGCCAGGTTACTCACATGGAGACTTTTTTTTCCAGCATAAAAAGGCATCAAAATATGTACATACATGTTACAATTAGATTATTGCACAATAAATGAGAGTTGTGCATAATGTAAAAAACAAAGAAATAAAGTGAAGAATAAAAATAATGGTCATGTAACTTTTAACTGTGTCCTCCTCATTTTTTGCCCTTTTTAGTTTATGTTCTCTCTCAGAAGTGGTTTTTGCCTGCCGTTTTGTAAAGAACTGATCCAAGGGCGTTTGCTTTTGTCGGCTTTTCGCAATCCTTCGAAAATGTCCAAGGCAAACATCAGCATAGTGAGCGATCGCCCAACTGGTGAACACTTTTTCTGGGTGATTCACATTGACATAAAACTATCGGAACACCTCATGGTCCAAGGGGCGAATGACGAGGATGCTGCATAGACACATATCTTTCTGTTTATCTATCTACACACATAGACACATATGGTAGAGGTCCCTCTTAGCCAATGGCATGCCAAGAAGATGCTACGTAATAGCCAATGGCAGAGCAGCTATAAGTATGTTGCGTTCAGGAAACTCACAGCTGCAAGTACTGTATTTTTACCTTTCATATCTTGAAATTTCTTTCGTAACAAGAGGGCAATACATACTGTTGAGACATTTCGTCACTTGAAAATTTCGTATGAAGAGACGTTCGTAAGTAGAGGTACCACTGTACAGAACAGTTTAATCATATCAATTTTGTTGTTCCACATGACAACGTTGACTATTCTTCAGATATCTGCTTTTTTTCTTTTAACATTGGGAATTAGTAAAGCTGAGCTGGTTTAAAAATAAAATTCAATGAAAAATATGTTGTTTATTTGGAGTTACCTTTTAATTAGAATAAGTTTGTGTTTCAAAATATAAAATTCAAATTGCCTTTATCATATTGAATTGGATCATTCAAAAAAAAGCGATAAATCATTTTGTATCAAATTGTGAGGCTTCAACATAACTTGAAGAACAATCTTCATACAGATCTCAACATAAGTGAGTAAACTAAGATGGACTTGTAAGAAAACATGGACTCATTATTTCCTTTGAAAATTTGTTTTCTATGGCGCACGACAGTAGAAAATATAAATTGATACATTGATACAAATGAATGTTGCAACATTACAAAAATTGAACAAACAATGAAATGTCTTGCCAAACAAAATTAAACAATATCAATTAAAACAAAAGTCAGTTGAATCATCATTTTGGTGCATCATGGTGCATTATCACATTTCTGAAAATTGCTGCGTTTTGTGATACATTCTACAAAAGTGTGTTATAGCTCACATTGGTGGAAAAATAAATAATCTTGGTTTTATATTTTTTACATCACTAAAACCTGGCAGTGTATCAGGTGTGTGTCGATGCAGAGCATTCAAAAACATAGTTGTTTATGAATAAATATTAGAAAAATGAACATAATGCTCAGTTTGTCGTCTTACCATTTGCACGCTCAGTGATGTAGAGGGGGCTGGTGCTGGACAATCGGTTTGGCATCATCATACTCTGAAGGGCTGGGGTGCCAGGCTTACTGGTGTCCTGACTCTGATTCTTGTCAGTCTGTGTGCAGCTATCCCTACTGCCTGTCTTCGAGTGAACTGCTGTCATTTGTGTCGAAGGAAATACCGGGGAGGGAGATGATGTCATAGATTCTGTCCTGAGAGAGTCTGGGCGAAATTCTGGACTGAGCAGAACCCCTGGAGGAGAAAAACAATTTACCTTGATTTTTTTGTAAGACTAGTGACGATCACCACCAGGCTTGGCACTGGGTCATGAAGCCTAAACAGAATAAAAATCTCCTGGCGACACTTAAACTTGTTTTGCCGCTCTTTTGTTATATGCGCCCCACATTTGTACACACGGCAAGGCCATTTTTGCCCGATTAACACAAAACTTTAGGGAAGATGTTTTTTTCCTGAGTTAGTGGCTTGATGGCATGAAGTGCATGTTGTAGTAGTACAAAGAAGCTGTTCCTTGGTTGTCAGCTTGCCTGCACTTCAGCTTCTCATAAAAAAAAAATCTGGACACCGGGGATAATGAAAATTGGTTTTACATGTGTCCGCATTTCAGGACTAAATTCATCTCAGTCTTTGTATGTTTTCAACATGTGTTCTGAAAATGATGTATTTAGAAAAAAAATAATGTAATGTCTTTCAAGGTTTGTTTTTTGCAGTATGATTTTTACTCAACATTTTTTCAACACATTTAAATGTAATCATTTCCATTACAGTATTAATGTTTCAACTAAACAATGTTGAAATGGCTTAAAATAATAAATAAAGGTATATTCTAGGAATAAAACCATCAATTTTTAATGAACACTTAGGCCCACTATGTTACTGTATTTTTGATGAAGGCCACTCAATTGGCATTTGTAAAACGACATTTTTAGGTGGTACTAGCTGTAAAAGGTTTGAGAACCACTGCCTTTGTTATATGAGTTATATATTTTTTAATTATGTTGCTATTATTGAGGGCATACTTCGTGCAGTATGTTTGTGTACAGGAAGTTATAAACTATATTTGGCACATAGAATTTTTATGATTAATTTACAGTTTACAATAATAATGACATTCATGATTACTGCATACATACTGCATACAGAATCTATGATCACAAAGATGTTAGTCAGTGTGCATTGTGGAATTACTTTATATATATCAGGATCGGAATTTGTATGGAAAAATGTGTAAAAACACATGAAATAAAATTGGAGATGGGTCGAAAACAAACGTACCTGTGCTCTTCAGTATTTTTGTGTTTTGGAAAATCGTCACTAAGCGACCCTGGCCAACTTCCCCTCTGTGAAACCATTTGAGTATCCTTTTTCACACTACCAAAAAACCTTCTGTTCTCTTCGAAGTGTCGAAGCCAGGGGGATTTACACAAACAGTCAGACTTGATATGATGACTCATCTCTTGATTAAATGGTTATTGCGCCATGTCACAGTCAGTAAGTTTTATTTTTGGACACAGGTAGGGGAAACTCAAAGTTGCATGACTCAACTCAACTCAACTGTATTTATAGAGCACTTTCAAACATCCATCGCTGCATACAAAGTGCTGTACATGGAGCAAATTAACATATACAACAAATAGTAAAGCAAATCGGAAATAAAAACAGTAGAAAGCACCGATCAGCAAAACCAAGAACAATCTAAGTAATGGTGAGTCAAATGCCAAAGAATACAAGTGAGTTTTGAGGCGGGTTTTGAAGATGGGCAGCGAGGAGGCTTGCCGAATGTTCAGTGGGAGGACATTCCAGAGAGAGGGACCAGCAACAGAAAAGGCTCGATCCCCTCTGAGCCTCAGTTTAGTTCTTGGTACTTCTAATAATGTCTGGTCCGCAGACCTGAGGCGCCGGGCAGGTGTGTAGGGGCGGATGAGCTCAGAGAAGTAAGGTGGCACAAGGTTATTTAGAGATTTGAAAACAAATAAGAGGATCTTGAAAATAACTCTAAAATGTATGGGGAGCCAGTGAAGGGATGCCAGAGTAGGAGTTATGTGCTCCCTCTTACGAGTACCGGTCAAGAGGCGAGCAGCGGCATTCTGGACCAGCTGGAGACGCTTAATGGAAGACTGGCTGACTCCAAAGTAAAGGGCATTGCAGTAATCAAGCCGGGATGTGACAAAGGCATAAATTACTGTCTCAAAGTGTTCATGAGAGAGGGAAGGTTTTATTTTGGCCAGCTGTCTAAGATGAAAGAAGCTGGATTTAACAACGGCACCAATTTGCCGGTCAAGTTTGAAATCACTGTCCAGTTTAAGGCCCAAGTTTGAGACTGTTGACTTAAGATAAGGAGACAGGAGGCCCAAGTCAACAGGATGGGATGTGCAAGGGCCACTGGGACCAAACAGTATCACCTCTGTCTTCTTTTCATTGAAAGTCAAGAAATTTTGTGCCATCCAGGTTTTGATTTCTTCCAGGCAGGAAACAAGTGGCCTTAATGAGAAGGGGTCTTTTTTGCTCAGTGGGACATAGATCTGGCAGTCATCTGCATAGCAGTGGAAGGAAACACCATGTTTCCTTAAGATGGACCCCAATGGGAGCAGATACAGCGAGAACAGCAGAGGCCCCAGAATTGAGCCCTGTGGAACACCACATGACAGGGGAGCAGTGCGTGACTCAGAGCAGCCAAGGCTGACACAAAAGGTTCTGTCAGCTAAATAGGACCTAAACCACTCAAGAGCGCTACTGCCAATGCCCACCAAGTGCTGCAAACGAGTCAGCAGAATACTGTGATCCACTGTATCAAATGCTGCAGTTAAATCCAATAGAACTAGACTCGGGAGCAATGACGTTGGTTTTTAGTGCAGAAACCAATCAAATATTTCGTCTATTCAGGGTCCCACTAAAGGGGCTAGCTTGCTAGCCCTCGCAAGAATGTCGCCGGCATATGTAATTCATGCATCATCGGATTGAATACTGCAACAAATCACATGCGAGATTTCTCCGCGAAGAAGCTAGTGGGATTATTTGCAAACGGACATTTGTACTTTGTCGCCATGACTTTTGTTACGTGTCTTGCTGGAGGAATTTTGACGGACGAATTGGTCCTTTGCTGTGGAGTGGCAAATATGGGAAATTTTGACCATGGCGCATGGCAAACCCTCACCACCATTACACTTCAAGCCCACTGTTTGTAAAGTATACACGTAGTGAAGAACACTTTATCAACTCTTACCTAGGCTCCCTTTCCAGCTGTTATCTTTGCGTTCTTCAATGATGGCTGAGCTACTGAGTCCAATGCTATGAGAGAGCACTCCTGAACTTCCAGGACCAGTATTAGAGATAGACATCAGAGACTTGGAGGGCCTCATTGTAGATGGCACATCTGACTTGATTGGCTCCTTCTTGGAGCGCTGGTGGAGTACCTTGATCATCGCATCCTTCTCTATGATCTGGGCATGGAGATTCTTTATCCTTAGTCAGAAACAACAGGTTATACTGAATTAGAACAGTGTAAAAAGAAATACACCCTGGAAGGATTACCTGCCAATTGCAGGATTGATACTGAGAAACATTGAGGGGAAAGTTAAGCCTTTTCACTTTGCATTTAGCAGAGCGCAATGCATCATTCACAAACCCATTCATTGTGTATGTGCTGTGATGGTGCAACATGCAAGGTGAGCATGTTTTTGTGCCCACCTATGCTCGTTTACCCGATCCCTTGTGTTACCCAATCAGTGTTACCCACCATTTTTTTAATCCTCGCCAACTCCCACACCTATGTTAGACCAGTGGTTCTTAACCTTGTTAGAGGTACCGAACCCAACCAGTTCATATGCACATTCACCGAAACCTTCATTAGAGAAAAATATATACTGTATATATTTTTTTGTACAAATTCAAGACGTGAAATTTATTAAAAACTGAAAAAAACTAAATAAAATTTCAAGACATAAGTATACTTTTTTTTTTTAAATAGTGCACAAAATGAACCATCCAGTGATGTCCAAGCTGGCGTGTCGTAACTAATTGACATGTTGAGTCAGGTGTGCCTTAACCTCCATGGTAGAGGCTCCGTCAAACCCCTGAGACCGATTCACCGAACCCCTAGGGTTCGCTCAAACCCAGGTTAAGAACCACTGTGTAGACCCTTTCTCTGTTACCATCATGTGGAAGAGTCTTAACACGTGCGGTCAGTACGTCAAACTTTCACCCAGTCATCGCATCAGCTGTCTTCTGCATGCCCCCTTTGTAGTTGCGTTGTATTTCAGTAGATTTTCAACTTGTGTGTTATGTCTGCTATTGGGTACAAATTTAACTTGTCATGTGACACTGGTAGCATCATTGATGTAGTCAAGGTAATCCATTTTCATAATGCAGAGTGAAAGATTTAGCCTTTATTTGGAAGTTAAACTTACCCCTGGCCAGTCTTGATTTCAGTCTTAATTTAGACCTCTAGTCTTTCATCAAGACAGGAGATTATTTAACTGAAGAGTAGAACTAGTCTGAATCAATATTTCTGAAAGTTTTATCAATAAATCCTGGAATAAAATATGTGTTAATCTAGACCCAGGATTAATCCCAGTACGGTAAACTGGGCAAAAAAAAATTTAGGGCCCAACACTGACCCATGGGGGACACTGTCAAAAATATTCAAACATGATGAAAACATATCACCCAATTTGAGACATGGTTGTCAGTAAATTGTGTTAAATCCAGTGAAACACAATGCCTCAAATGCCATGATTTTTTAGCTTGATTATGATTACATCATGACTGATTGTGTCAAAAGATTACTCTGACCAATTTTCTCTGACCAATAATGTTTGTAATTTCTTTAATCGCTGTGAAGGGACAATAAAAAGTAATGTCAATTTAAAGGCTTGAAGAAAAGTCTACATTTTTTTACAGCGAGTAATAGTCTACATTCTGAATCACTGATAGTTATCGAGAAAAATACAGACATTTCGAACATACCTGCTTTCCATGTCCATACATCGGCGATTAGCCATTAGTATCTCTTCTTCTTCTTTTTGAATGCGGGCCTCGACTGATGTGTCATAGCTGCTGCTGGGAGAATGACTTAACATTGTGACAGAGGTGTCCCTGCAAAACAATAACTGTTTTAAGGGTGAAACAAACAACACTCTCTGTTGAGATTGCTGTAACCAGTGAGTGGCCCATCAGATAATACAATGCAGAGAAGCATTCACACGCATCTGATGTACAACTTGTTAGTACAACTGCCTGTTTTGAGGTTGTGGGTTCAAATCTGGGCTACGGCCTTCCTGTGTGGACTTTGCATGTTCTCCACATGCCTGTGTGACTTTCCTCTGGGTGCTCCAGTTTCCTCCCACATTCTTGTTTATTCAAGACTCAATGTCAGGGGTGTTCAAACTCAGTCTTTGAGGGCTCCTATCCAGCATGTTTTAGATGTCTCCTTCCTCCAACACACCTAATTTATTAGATCAGGATCATCATCAGACTTCTCAAAGCTTTCGGATGATCGAATCAAGCAAATTGGAGGAAGGAGACATCTAAAACATGCTGGGTAGGGTCCTTCAAGGACTGGGCTTGGGCACCCCTATTATATATTGTCCAAAGACGTGACTATGCATGTGAATGCTTGTTTGTCTATTCAGTATGTGGATGGTCAGGCAGGTTACAATTGGGGTTTCCAATAGCTGATATCTGTTACTGATTACAGGGACAAGCAAATTATTTTCAACAAGGATAATTTGTACTTGTCTTATCTTTACATCATACAAAACTACAGTATGCCAGTTGGGATGACTATACATCATCAAATATGGTCATGTTGTCCATGTTGTAAAATGGGTGTGACCAAATCCTATGTTGGTGCGACCAACTGAAAAAGTTGGTTGCTCCAGTGCTTTCAGTGTAAAAGTCAGTGTAGAGTCCTGCAGTCAGCAAAAATTGATTTAGCATGAAATAGTAATTGCCCATGAGGATAAAGGAACAAACAAACTGTTCAATAAATGATTAAAATGAATATTTGGGTTATTTTCAGGATTTTTTTTTTGTTGTTTTTTTGTTTTTATGTAGCTGACCTCCAAAATGGGAGCGGTGCAGGTGTGAAATTTTTCATATATGAAATGGTTTGTCTGTGAAATGATTTCATAATTGGAAAGGAATAATTAATCTTAATTATTACCATAAGAAATCCATCCATCCATCCGTAATCTAGGAACCCGGAATACCCAGAGAAAACCCATGCAGCCACGGGGACAACATGCAAACTCCACACAGGAAGACCGGGGCTGGAATTGAACCTACACACTTTGCACTGTGATGCAGACGTGCTAACGAGTTGACCACCGTGCCGTCCCATGAGAAATCATTTTCTCTCATTCATTTTCATAGGAGTAGTGCTAGATATGTTTGTATTTTGTGGATCCTGTTGTTTTCCTTGCATTAGGGCCCCGTCATTAGACGTACAGACCACCATCGTATTAGAATTGAATTTGAATTTGACTTTTATTTGGTCTTCCGTAGGAGAAACTTATCTCGGAGGATAGGCCTCTGTGCTGCTACATACATTGAACATAAACGTACTGTCAAGGTAACGCGCCTCGTCAGGCAGGAGATTAAGCACAAAATTGAGAAAATGGAATTGGATGGTTTAAGTCCTGAGACAAATTCCTAATTCGACCACTAGAGGGGAACAGAGGGATCCTAATGCAACGAGAAGCCAGCTCCACAAATCCTGAACCATGGGTAAATTAAAATAAATAATAGTATCGGTTAAAAGTACATGCCAGAGTCAATGCCTTACGAAAAGCCTTAGAAAATAAGTACGGAAATTGACAACTGATAAGAAATCGACTAAGTTTAAAGAATGTTTAAGAAAATGAAGCGCTCCTTTTCTTCTTGTTTTCCTTTTTATTTAGCCAGTCATTATAAGATGACATTATAAAGGAACAAAGATATTCATCAAATGTTTATGCAATGCTTTTGAAACTGCTTTGAGTGAAGACTATTACCTTATGACTTATTACTTTCTCTCCAAGTAATGTCATATGATGTGTAACGAAAGTTATGGGTTGAGAACCTAAGCGCCTACGAGAGAGATGGGCAAGCAACATGTCTATGTATATACATGATAACCACGCTGCAAAATGCTGCATGAAGAGACTGTCTATCATTGGGAGGCTGAACCAGCATACAG